ACGCGCAGGTGTGGCACCGTGTGTGTGTGTGTGTGTGTGTGTGTGTGTGTGTGTGTGTGTGAGAGAGAGAGAGAGAGCGTAGTCGACGTGGCAGAGGAGCGCGCGGACGGCGACAAAGCGGAGCGGCAGCGGACAGCGACGACGACGACGCGGAGCGATGATGGAGACGGTCTCGGCGTGCTGCGGAACTAAAATTTGAACGCGCGTTCATCCTTTTTGAATGCGCATTCAAATTTTTGAACGCGCGTTCGCGTTTAAAGAACGCACGTTCAGTCGTTTTGAACACGCGTTCTGGGCGTTCGTTTGGGTGGGCTGCGCCCTGTCGCTGGTGGGGTGGGGGGTTTCGAGGACGTGCGGGGTGCATGGGCGACGCGATAGGGGCCACTGGGTGGTGGGCATTGGGCCGACGAGGCCTTGTGCGGGGAGAGAGGGAGGTCGGCAGGAGTTCGTACAGCCATCGGCGAGCGGGCACGATGCCGCAAAGTCAGTCCAGGGTGTTTGAGGATGGGGGGGAGGATGAGAATCTGAAGGCGCAGAAGAAATGCTGCGTGTACAAGTACATCCGCGTCGGGCTGAGTCTCGGCGAGAGATTCCGCGGCAATCGAATGCTGAAGTGCGTTTTCTGCGGCCACGAGTTCCAAGGCAACCAGTTTGTGGCGGCGCGCCATTTCCGCGAGGGCAAGGGATGTCCTGAAGTGACCGACGAGGCACTTGTCGACATCCACAACAACAGTGAGTACAAGATGACAAGTTCCTACAGCGGATCCAGCAGTTTGAGGAGCTCCACGGTCCGACGCCTGCGATGGATCCGCAATGGGACGAGGGGGGGAGGGAGAGACGAGGGACGTGGAGGAGCAGATCGACGTGCACGACGACGTCGAGGAGGTTGCCCGGGCGCCGTCAGGGAGGGAGCGAGGGAAGGGCGTTGTCAGCGAGCCGGGGGGGCAGCAGGGCCAGTAATTTGCGTCGGCGCATGTGTCGGTTCGTGCATGGGCAGGTGCGGATACCGCTGAGCCGGGTCCATCTGCGGGGAAGAGAAAGGAGAGAGAGGAGGGTGCGCGACCGACGGCAACACAGGAGAGGCTGAGGCAAAACACTATCCCGGAGTCATTCTCTTCAAAGTGGCAGATGGAGTTCAAGAAGAAGTGGCTGCGGTTTGTGTACATTCAGCGCCTGGCGTTCAACGTCTTCCGGAGCGAGCCGTGGTTGGACGTAGTCCGACACTTCAGGGAATTGTCGGGGCCAGTGAAGGTGTTATGGCCTTCAAAGAATGAGATTGCGGACATAGAGACCATTGTCCACACGGCGGACGATGTGGGAGCTGATCTCGCGGACGTCAGGGCTCCTTTCTATGTCAAGGGGGCCACCATTATGTCGGACGGAAGAAAGTCACGCGATGCTAGACCCATCGTTAACTTCCTTGCCGGCGGGTCGCGTGGGGTGATGCTCGTCCGGACGATGAACAGGGACGGTGAGCGGGATCGCGCGCCTGATGTGTTGGCCCGCTGGATCAAGGTGTTCGATGACTTTCCCCCAAAGTGGGTGAATGCCATCTGCACCGACTCCGCCTCGGCGTACGTCGCCGCGGCAAACATGCTCCAGGGGCCCGAGTAGAGGCCAGAGCATCGACGGATCATGTGGCTCCCATGCGCAGTGCATATCTGCAACAAGATGTTGTCAGACATTGGCTGTTCGGGCGCGTGGTCCAAGGACATCGTCGTGAGGGGGAGAGCGGTGGTGTGCTTCATTAAGGAGCACGACGCCGCTCTCCATATCTTTCGGGCGAAGAGAAGGCAGATGGGCCTCATTTATCCTTGCGAGACACGTTTCGCATCCGTGTTCGCGATGGTGGAGCGTTTGCTGGCAGTGAGGTCAGCATTGGAGAGGACGGTGGATGGCGACACTTGGGGTATGGTCCCTTGGGACCATTCCGTTCGTCACTTGGCTAGGTGGGTGAGGTGGCAGGTGCAGCATGGCAGCTGGTGGGATTCCATGGCCATCTTGTTCCGTGTCATGGAGCCCGTGTACGACCTGCTGTGCAGGTTGGACCGTGGAGGGCTGCACATGTCGCGGGTTGTTGAGTGGACACAGGATCTGGCCCGCCAGGTAGCAGAGGAGGTTTGTGCACTTCCGGCCGATCTTGCACACCACATTGTGCAGAGGGTGCAGGCCCGATGCGCCCACATGTTGGAGCCGGCGCACGCCGCTGCTCAACTTCTCTGTCCCAGCCGCCGGAACTTGCGGTACTTCGAGGGCGTTGTCAGTGACTACGACGCCAGTTTGGTGAGGGAGGCGGAGACTTACATCTTGTCGCAGACAGGGTTCAGTGTGTCGAGCCCCGACTACGAGACCGCATGTGCGCAGTTGCGCGACTTCCACACACGAAGGGGGACGATTGCTTGGGGGGGGGGGGGACGGAGACAGAGATGCACAGAGGTGCACGGGCCATGCGGAGACGTACGAGTCCGGGTGTTGGTGGTCGAGGTACGGGCAATGCGCCCCCTAGTTGTAGGTTATCGCACTTTGTGTGATGTACATGTGGACGTGCTCCTCTCCTGCGGAGAGGAATTGGGCCGTCCACGAGGGTGTACAAACGAAGAAGCGTAACCGACTTGAGTTCGAGAAGGTCGCGAAGTTGGTTGAGATCTCAACCAACGTCCGCCTTCTCTCTCATCAGCGGGCAGGCCGCGGGTTCGCACTGCCGTGGACTTTGGATGAGTCGTTGTTGGACGTGGAGGGAGGTATCGGGATTCACCCCTCGTGGAAGGGGACGGACGAGAGCAGGACACGGGAGGAGCTCGAGGAGCAGAGACGTTCTTGGCAGCGAGACCTATGTGGGTCGAGAGCTCCTCCGGGTGATGTGGGCGATGTTCTTGGTACTCGAGCCGCCACATTGCACCGGTACCCTCGAGACGATAGTGATTCCGAGGGTGACGAGGACGAGCCGGCGGGCCCCGCTACCGCCGGTCCTGCGGCGGATGAGCGTGATGCGTGGAGCGACCCAGAGGACGTCCGGAGACGGAGTGGTGGAGATGACCTTTTCATTGGAGTTGACTTGGAGGAGGAGTCCGGGGGTCGTCACGAGAGCCCTCCACAGCGTCAGAGGACTACATCTGCTGACCCGAGGTCCTTCGAGAGGGAGAGAGATCTTGGGTCCGCACCTTCAAAGGGGGCAGAGTCGGGGATTGACCATCTTCTTGCGCGTGTTCGTACTGGTACGGCATCATCCACCGCTCTTCCCACTTCGACGGAGCAGCTTCGTCGACAGCCAGCTGGGGATGATCGATTGCACAGATTGGTGAGGGGCCCTAGACAGCGATTGCAGGACAGATTAGAGGTCGGTTCTTCACCGATGCAGGGGGACGACGGAGATAGACAGGGGTTGGCTCGTAGAGATGGTGGTGCGTTGGCCGGAGGTGGAGGCGGTGCAGAGGTTGCTGCGGCGGTTGAGGCGCACGAAATTCGGAGTGCCGGGGATGAGCAGATACCGATGACGGGGGGTGGAGCCGGTTTTAGTGAGTTTGGTGACTTGGGTATGCCCCTGGGAGAGAGCGTGGGTCTGGCCCGAGGAGAGAGTGAGTCCCGTGGGGACATCTGTGTGGGTATGCAGGAGTTGTTGGGACAGATCAGCTTAGTGGACCCGAGTAGTTTCTCCCCTGCCATGCGAGCAGAGGTGATGTCGGGGGCAGAGGGGGATGAGGACCGGACACCCCCTGGAGAGACATTTGCAAAGAGGTTGGATAGGCTTGATAGTCGTCGAGCTGGCCTCATGGCGCAGAGGGACCCCAGGACGCAGGAGCTCGCCCGTCGTGCGGCCGAGGAGCGACAGAGGCAGTTGGGGACATTTACGCCAGCATCCGTTAACATAGCGCCAGCTGCCCACACGGATCCTCCGGCAGAGGTTCACGACACGCCGCAGCTGGAGGCGGCTTCAGCGAAGGTTTTGAGCACGGGAGTAGGTGTTCGCCAGGGCATGCACGAGAGCGGATTGGCACCGACAGAGGAGACAAGTTCGGAGCCAGTGCAGCCTCCTGGCGTCCAGGTGAGGCCAGAGGAGACGTTGCACGAGGTCACGACCGTCCCTCAGACTCCTCTGCCCAGGGGTTCAGTCGAGGGTGCCGTGCAGATGTCCCCGGGTCTGGAGGACATACAGACGGGGCAGTCAGTGGGCGTTGATGATATTCGCCCATCGACACAGGCGGAGGGGATAGCAGCCAGCACTGGGGGGGAGGGGGCCGTAGCGGGGGCCGTTGGTGTTGGCGAGGTGGGGGTGCCTGCTTAGGGCGATCCGATGTCCACGTCTGGCGGGGGAGATTGCGCACAGTTGGAGAGGCGTGACGCAGACGGCCAGGATATGCCACATACTTTGGTGGTTCGCACTGCTGTGGGGCCAGTGGGGCCACATCAGGCACTGTTTTTGGAGGGTCATAGAGGTCGTGCACATGGCGGTGGTCCGGTTGAGGAGCGACGTGTAGGCAAGGGCGCGTGCATACCCCCGGTCCCTACTTTTGCGCCGTCACGGGAGAGGCCGGAGATTAGGTATGTGGCCACGCCTCAGGGCAGCCTCACTTTTGGTTTTATGAGCGCTGAGGAGTTGGAGGAGCACGACAGGACGGATTTGACGGAGATCAACCGGTGTATTTTCAAGACGGTCCCAGAGGAGGGGAAGCTGCCGCACGTGGAGGACTTGTCTTGGGGGCCAGCCAGCCCTAGCTTACCTTTTGGATGTTCCGTCGCAGCGCCATCTGGCGAGGCTGCAGGGGGCTTACGTTCTGGAGGATCCATCGCAGCGGCATCTGGCGGGGCCGTAGGGGACTTAACTTCTGGAGGTCCGGTCGCAGCGCCATCTGGAGGTGCTGCAGGCCCTTCGTCACCCATGACCGCAGCTCCGAGGGAGGGCAGCAGTCTCACCCCGAGGTCGGTTGAGCGTAGACGGAGAGACACCGCCTAACGAGCGTGGGAGTTGCTGGACACCATGTTGTTGGGTCGCACTGATCGACCATGGAGCGAGACGAGACGGGTGACGACGATGAGTGTCGGTCGTCAGCTAGGTTTGAGAGGGGCTACCACGGCCGTGAGACGTCGAGATGTTATAGCTTCAGGGTTTGGTGGTAGAGGCGGTGGCGGCGGTGGCAGCGGTGGCCAGGGTGACGACATACGTGAGGGTGCAGGCGGTGGCGCAGCGAGCGCAGTGGATCCGCCCTTGACGTACGGTTTGAGAGAGGCGTCGATTATTTTGCAGGAGCCTGGCCTTGTCACACAACCGAGGCAGGAGAGACACGTGCCCTTAGATCGACGTCGGGAGGGGGAGACTTCAGGGACAGATGGTCTACCTATGCTACGCGAGCCACGCCGACATGATGACCTAGCAGCCGCAGGTGTAGACAGGACGGTGAGAGGCAGGAGAGTCATTATGGACGACGACCTCGACGAGCGTCCGGTCGGTCCCGAGCCTTCCGCTGGCAGACGCGGCGGCCAATGTTGGAGACATTGAGGACGTGGCAGTGGTTGGTCCCACGGACGAGGTTCTGATTGGTAGTTCCTGGTTCTGCGTGCGCACGACGATTCTTGACGGATTGCGGACTAGCGTTTTGTTACTTTCTCAGTGTACTATAGTTCTTTGTTGTCCATGACAGACGTAGTGTTTGCTGAGGTTGTATTGTAGTCTACTTTTCAGTGGGTAGTTTTCTGCGCAGACGTAGTTTTTTGTGATGTTGTATTCCAGTCTACTTCCGTAGGAGGATATGGCCATTTCGTTCGAGTTTAGTTTTTTTTTATCCATGACAGACGTGGTGTTTCGTGATGTGGTATTATATTGTACTTTCCAGTAGGCACTTTTCTGCGCAGTTTGCTACTTCGGAGATTGTAGCTTTCCAGTGTATTTTATTGTACTTTTCGTCGGCATTTTTGGGTTGGTGCTTCTTTGCACAAACTGGCGGGGCTTCGACACGATGTGTCATATTTTTGCTATTATCCATGCTATATTGGTTTGCGTTTTGCTTCGATCATTACATCTTGTCATTTGTGATGTTTCTGTTTTCAGACGATGAGTGTTTTGTGTGCTTTGAGTTCGCCCTTGGTTTCTCTGAAATCTCACTTCCGCCGAACTATTTACAGGCCCCTCATAACCCAAACCCTCCCTGTAGCCCCCCCCCCCCCCCCCCCGCCCCCCCGCCACAACGATGCGAGCTGTCACACATCAGACCGGTAATGATACAGTTCGGTCAACACAGATTGAGCTTGCGCCCGTCGATCAACAACCAGTACAGGGGCCGATGGTGTGCCCTGGCCGTGCATGGCCAGCCCTGTCCTCTGCCTGACACGTCGACCTCTGCCATCATCTCCATCTGTCGCTGACCTCCTAGGAACGTAATCGGAGTCACCCGGATCGTCGGCACCTGTGGTCTCGCCAGCCTCCACGGTTGTGGAACTGTCGTCATGGTATATGACCACATCGCCTCGTCTCTTCTTGACTCGCCCTGCATGGTCGACGCCGTCACGTCTCAGGTCTGCTCGTGCTGCACTGCCGTGAAGTGCGTCATGCCCAAGCTCGGATCTCCGCTCAATGGCTGCTGATCCTCCGACGCCTGTCCCTCCGTCCGCCACTGGCCCGACATTTGCCGGAATCTGTCTGCTCAGATCTCTAGCGTGGAAAGCAGGCAGATGACGACGACGGTGATATGGAATCGAAGTAATTGTCCACTTCTTCCTCGCCCGAGATAACCTCGCAGTTGCCGTCCTCGTGTCGTGGACATCCGATGTCTTGCCCCTCATAGGCCTCCCGTGTCGCTCTTCGTATGCTCTCATGGAGTCGTGACATGCACCATCGACGCGGCCTATGAATCGCATCCCTGCAGGCACATCTGTCGGTCCACATGCTGATGCATGTGCCTCGTCGCCTGCCCTCCGATCCCTAGTCACGCCGTCATAGAACGACACCGTCGGCAATGCGGTGCTCGCGCCCAAACCCTGGGCGGCAAGGTCGACGCCATGGGGGTGCGGGGGTGATGAACGCATTGCCATACGATGCGGACGGGCGTCTACTGCGTGCTCGCCTCCAACACGTGCCTGCGTGGGCCCGCCATCCCCAGGCTGTGCGGTCGATGACCCTCTGTGTTCGTGGTCTCTGCCACCCGGCACGGCACCATCCGTGGTCAATGTCCGTGCCAGATCCCGCCGCATGTCCTCGCCAACGCCTGTTTCCCCGTGGGACCCCCTCTCAACCTCTCCGTCCTCCGAACCAATGCGTGTCGTAGACTTCGGACGAGTCAACCCTTGTCCACTCTCCTCCGGCGCTGACATCGCCGCCACAGATGTGGTCGGCGCCTCAACGAGATTAGGCTGAGTCTCCGTGTCACCCATGCCAGCATCAGAAGGAACATAGTCCTTGTCGCTCATGGAGTCCTCAGAAACGACAACCTGCTCGAGTTGCACGACGTCTGCCTCCGTGACGGTCGCATCGTGTTGACTCTATTGAGGTCGAAGATGACGTCTACGCACACGTGAGGCGATGCTGTTATCCGGTCTGGCCCCTCATCTCAACCAATGCAAGACGACCGGCCAACCACGTGCGGGACCGTCGTCCTCACACTGGTCAACTTCG